TTATGGTCAACGAGCTTGTAAGTTATTTAAATTTTGTTACCTTTGCATTCCAATTATCTTATATGGTAACCTTTTTTATGGATAGATGCGCGTGTTATATTCCGAAGATGAGAGTGATATCTCTAAAAAAGAAAATAAACCTGAACCTTTCACAGCCGTAAGTTTTTGTTTATTGTTTAGCAGTTATTTATTTAATGTATTAAAATAGTAATCCTCATTATTTTTATTTTATGTGTATTTTTTAGCTGAAATTTTATATGCTAGAACTTCTCCTTAAATCTTTAAAAACCGAAAAATCGACGTATAATCTTCGATATCTACTTCATTTAATAAATGTTTACGTGGTTGAAGATGTAGCATTTTGTCCTGGATTGGTCAGTCTCGTAGTAAAATCTATTCAAGAAAAGGTTTGTAACTTACTAAATTGTGTGTATATTTTGTTTCAAATTGCAATTATTTAAAAATCCTCGATTTATTTTTAGGTTTTGACTATGAATCTTCCTTCTGATGTAACTTTATATGCCTTTGATGTCCTTAAAGACTTTGTCGGGTTGTATGAATATGTCCAACGGGATAGCAAAGTATGAATGATTTATTGGATATTGTGTCATTTTATATTATGTCATTTTGTTAAAGGATATATAATTTGATTACTCTTTAGAATTGTGCTAGAGAATTGGTCTTGGAATTTTGCCGTTATATCGACACAATGCTTTCTGGTGCATATGGTGGATTGGTAAGATTATATCGTTATTTTTCTTATGTAACTTTTTTTTGTGATGTGTACGGGTATGTTCTTTTTTGCTATTCATTATTGAATCCATGTTGTTTCACTATGTAACTAGTCGATAACATTTAATTTAGTCGAAAAAGCATATGATTGTATGATGCGTTGGATACTTGTTGGTCAATGGATAGTTGGTGATCGTGATTGTCATGAGGCTGTGATCTCGACAATTAGTAAAGGCATTTCTATAATCCCAAATAATGATGACGATAATGCACAACCAAGTTCTCCTGCTGATAAGAAAAAGAATCGCAAAGATCCAATTCCTAATAAACTTTTTGCTACACGAGTTAAAATGTCTACAGCTAATAACGACAGTATGATGCAAGCTGGTGGACAAAATCGATGCGGGAAAAAAGGGGAAATGGCCGTTAAACTTGCTGCCGAAATCGCAATGTCCCAATTTGTAAATCATTTAGGAAACTTCCCTGCTTGGAGTGATCATATTGGACCAAGCAGAGTTTCAACTCTTTTTAATGATGACTTGTTACTCGCTAAAGCACGGATCGCAGAGTCGAATGTAGGATCTATTCCCGAGCTAGTTAGGTACTTTTTGATTGATGGCCGAGTTGTGATAGGTTTTGTAGAAATACCAAAGCATCCAGTATGGATAATTAATAAAGATCCAAAGACTTTGGTTGCATCTGACAATTTGGAAACGCCTGTTGAAGCAGGAACTCCTGTTTCATCTCCAGGAACACCAAAGGCTCCAATACCACAAGCATATATTCAAAAAGAATTAGATGAAACCGATGACTGTCCATCGGTCATTATAGTTATGCGGGATAGTACAGGAAAATACTCGTGGGAATCACACATGTGCTACAAACCACCTATTGGAGACAGCAGTAAAACTCGTCCTTTATCCCCGGAAATAGATAAAGAATTGCATGAACCAACTTTATTATCCCCTTTACAATCAATTCCAATTTTACGAACAGAAACACCTCCGCACTTCCTTTATGATCAACAAGGGACTAAGGATCAATCTTTTATTCAACGAATTCTTTGTTTTAACAATGATCAAATACCTACCGTCGATAATATCTTTGAAGCTGGAAGTGATAGCTGGAGAGCTTATCGTGAAGTTAAAAAATTAACACAGAGACAAAAGGAAATAGAGAAGCAATCTTTTGAAGAAAAAAGGTTACCATATAAGATAATTGGAATGCAAAGGTAACAAAATTTAAATAACTTACAAGCTCGTTGACCATAA